TTAATATTCATTGTCAAAGGTGTCGATCCTACAAGCTGACCCAACAGGTGCTCAGCTGCCACCTGGGACTTCTGCTCCTGCAGCATTTCCCTTATACTCTAATCGTGCCAACCCCAGCTCTGTTACATCTCCCAATTAGATAATATGGAGCAAATGGAGTGAAAATTAGAAAGCACAGGTCTGTATTTAAAACTTCATGGAAAACCAAACACACATGCAACAGAGAAAGCATTGAGGTGAAGACGTTCTTGGGACTGAGGGGACACAAGAAGGAGGAGCAGCTCACTGCAGATTTGTATGGGGCGGCATGGTACCAGTACTTCAGCATGGCCCTTGTACTTCCAAAGCCTACAATGAATTTTAAAATTCCAGAAATTATCTCTTTCTTTCTCACTAAGCAGCAACTGTGTGGGCATCCTGAAAAGAAGCAGCAATCAAGCCTGAGAAATGGCCTCCCGCCTTACTGCTTAAAGCCAAAACCAATGTGAATATCACCTACCAGCTCTGCCCTTCTTAATAAAGTCACTACCTTGACCCTGAATAGCTACTGAAAGAGCATTTTACTTTGAGTTATTACTGCCTGGTTAATGAACGAATTATGAATATTGCTGACCCAAATGTTTTCATCAAAACTGATTTTTTTTTCCCTTGATATCACATCCATATCTAATTAGAATCTCTGCAGAAAACTATTTTTTGGTGAAGAATGCCAGCATTTCACACAGAAAATCCATTGTTTCCTTTACGTTCTGAAATATGCTTTAGAGTTTTATTCCATGCTTTTATTTTGACAATTATACCAACAACACTATTATAAATTATACCCAGATTTTTCATTACACACCAACCAGATGATGCTTCAATCTATAAGAAAATGCATCTCAGACTATCAAAGAGAGGCTGCCCTTAGTTTTCTTACCAACAAAATAACAAAGCCAGATTAAATGTCACCAGGCAGTATGATTCATTACATTTACAACCAGCCCCTAATAAGGTGGTACAACACAAAAACACCTCCTGCATCCCTCCAAGACCTTTCACCCAACATCCCCAGCATTACTTACGCCCAAGATCACTGCACTCCAGCATGGATCACCACCGGGAGCTGCTGACCTCCGTTGAGAGTGAAACACCTGGCCAACAAGAAGGATGCTGCAGGCAAGCATAAGAGCTGTGGTTTCCATTTAGATGCACATCTCCATTTCCTCTGGTGGGGAAAGCAGGGTCTCTCTTCCTATGCAACATGACATGACTCTGAATGAGTCCCCCCAGGTGCCTGACACAGCAGAAAGTTTTTATTTTTCCTCCAGGCTTCTGAAGATCCAAGGAGGAACTTCTTCTCCTATATCCAGGTCACAAACCTGACGCTATGACAGAGGAGAGGAAAAGGAGCTCTGGGTTTGATTGTTTTTTTTTCTTTTTCATTTTTGCTGGAAGCCAGGTTGTAAGCAAACTAAGGAAAAGAGATTTAAATCAAATTAAATTTAATAACCTCTGGAAGCAGAAAGTGCCATGCTCAAGCCTAATTACAGTAAAAGCTTCCAGAAGTGGAGGTGACACTCTTCATAAAAAGGGTCAACCCAATTGAACTAGCACTTCAAAAATAAACTTTTCTAAGCACCAGGTCTGCATGCTGAACTGAGAGCATCCAAGTTGAAGCACCCTCCTGCTCCAAGAGCCTCACCTTTTCACCTCTGTTCAGCTTCACCCAAAATCAGAAGAGAACTCCATGACCTCAATTTAAAGGGCAAGGGTGCAAAGTGGTCACAGCTGCCCCAGTGGAGATGGAGCAAGCAGGAGGTGCCCAGAACACCTGGGTGTTTCCCAAAACTTGCGTTGGAGGCTGCTGCCTCCCCAGGCAGTAGGTGCTGCTGTGGCTGTAGTGCTGCTAGCCCTAGACAAAAGCAATGCTATTTTAAGGACAACTCTGCACACTGCAGTATAGATATAACCCTCATTTGCCCCTTGACACAGGGTACCCTGGCAGGGATGAGAATCAGCAGTGCTGGTGGCTCTGGGCTCACTGTATTGGGTGAGGGCAGCCCAGCTATAGGCCCCGCTTCTCCCCAATGCCCACCCAAACGAAGCCCACTACCTTCTCCTGGGGGTGAAAAGAAAGTCGCCTTGGGCATAAAAAAAGAGTTTCTTTCCTTTTTTAGCATCTCCTGGCTTTTTGGCCCCCATCCAGGCAGCAAGCGGCAGATGTCTCTAAGCTCTGTCCTGACCAAGGTTTTGGACTTTCTCCAGCTCACCTCTGAAACCTGCTCTCAGAGCTGTATCTAAGCTCCTTTCCAGAAAATCTCCACCTTCTGGGGACCTGAGACATCTCCAGATGTCCCCAGGCTAGAGAAGCTCAGCTCTGTCACCTTGGGGTCACAGGGGGAACCTTACCACCTCCCACCCATCCCCAGCACGGTGCAAGGGTACTTGGCCAGATGCTGGGGGTCGTGGCCCCGGGATGGAAAGCATGGCCACAGCAGATGCAAGGCCGCCCGCCTCCCTCGGGGCTGGGGTTGTGGGTGGCAGCCTGGCTCTGAGTCAGGAGCCAGCTTGCGGGGATTTGTGGCTGGGTGCCTCCATCCTGCCAGGGTTTGGTTTGCAGCAGGGCTCTCAGCACCACTGACCTTCCTGCCTGTCCAAGCAAGGAACCCAATTCCACTTGTTGGCAGCAATTACAGCGTCAGGTTGGCTCTTTGGGAGAGGAAGTCATTGCCCACATACAGGACTTGCCTTTACCTTGCACAGGTAGGGAAGACCACTATGGATTTAACGGTTTCTATAAGTATTCCTGAACCCAGAAAGCACTGACACCTCAGTCCTTCCTGGCTGCAAAATGTCGTGCATCAAGGTCAAAACCCATGACTAATGACCCACTGCCCCGACATCAGCTCTGGTCTCCCTGTGGGTGCACCCCTATCCTCAGACGTTGCATTTCCAACACATCAGATACAGCAAGGTGCAATGTGGATGTCGCATCTGGAGAGAAATTTCTCCACTGGATCAATGCTTTCTGTGTCCTCTGCTGCTGCCAGGAGTAAAGCCAGGCTGTGCTCAGAGGAACTGCAGGAGTTTTTTCTAAATCCAAGAGGGACAGTGTCAACTTGTGGTTGTCATTTGAGGTCAAAAGAAAGCACAAGGCATCCTATAAATTGACAGCCGAGTCAGAGTACATTAAATAAATATCTGCCTATTAGTTCAGCTCCAAGTTTCCACAAGAGCCTGAAGGGGAAATAGCTTTTCCTTGATAAACAACGAGCTGCTGTTTTCCTGGCCAGGTATCCCTCCTGATGATAGTGGCATGTCTTAGGCTAAAAATTTAAATTGATTTGGGGATGATACTCCAAGTATCATTCTTTAAAGGGACTATTATTATTGCACGCTGGAAAAGAGCCTGTTTCAGTGAATATGCCCCATTAGCAGTGATTTATCTGCGCTGCCACATTTTTTCATTAATCTTAATTTCAAATTCATTTTTCTCTCCTGCATGGCCAAGAGGTTCACATTCCTGATCAGCACCGGGTGCTCCTGAGGATGACATCAAATACCCGCATGGCCCACACCAGCAAAACTACCCGGCAGACCTCGGCAGGAGCAACGGGGCAGCCACGGGGAAGCAGCAGCCTAAGCTCATCCTGCTGTCGCTGCACGAAGCCGGCAGCCTCGTCAGGCTCTTCACTTTGAGGACCAAGCAAATATTTAACAAGTTCCCCTTGCACTGTACCAGAGTTCATTATCTGGTCTCCTGAGCTCCTTCAGTCAGTAATACCCTCTAATTGATGTGATTTGGCACTTGGCCATAGAGTTAAATTGATTTGTAGACCAGCGGGAGACGGCAGATGCCCTTTACACTTGAGAAAAGTGGCATGTGGCTTTGTTTACTGCCTGCTGGAAGGGGATGCCACGGCAAGAGATGCCTTTTAGGAGTGCAGGAAGGGGGTCTGCCTCCTCGGTGTCCTCTTACCACAGCCCCTGTTAGGTGACAAGGTGTGACTGCCACCAGCGAGCACCTAGGGATCACTCCAGCCATGAAGTTCTCCCTCCCTTCTTGACCCCAGGGAAGCTGGTGCACAGGGTGAGAGAAATGGGGAATTCTCTTCTCTAAAACCAGGGCAAGAGGCCCAAAGTATCTTCATGCTCACTTTTGAAGGGTGCCCCAACACATGCTCCCATCTCAGGGCTGGCATCGATCTTTGTTCTGCAGCACGGACTGTGGCCTCTGCTTGTGTAAGGGCAGGAGGAGCAGGGACAACCCGCCGGCTCCCGGGGCGAGAGCAGGGCGGCAGCTGCAGGCTGCAACTGACTCGGGTTTATTTGCAGGAACTCATCGGTGCTGCCGTGTACGGGTTGAACTCCAACGCCTGCACAGAGTTTCATTCTGAGATGCAGGAGTTTAGTGTTGAGTCACCTTGGTCATCATTAGTTGTTTGTTGGTGGGTTGCTTTTTGTACAGTACTATTTCTGTTTTCACTATTTTAAAAGGTTGATTAGTTTGTCAAATACTTTTTTGTTTTGCTTTCCTGTTGCTTTTAGTTGTATTGATTATCACATTTGCAAATTGCTTTGTTAAAAATTAGTTTAGGGAATAGTCATGTAACTCTCTTTTGCTCAGGATGATCTACAAGTTTTTAGCATCCATATGCAACTCGCCTTCAGGATTTTACCCCCAGCAAATTAACACTGTGAAAAAAAGAAGTCAGTGTGCAATCTCAGCTGTTATCATCAACCTAGTACTGTGAATATTTAAGTTTATTTGAAAGCCTCTTTTTATAATTATGAAAAAAAAATTAATATAGTAGAAGAGTTAAGAATCTTATTTCCATTTCAATCATCTTGTTCTGAGAATTTGAAGCTAGCATTGAAATCCTTTTCTTATCGCACCAGAGAGCCACATTCATCTTTAACATATTTATTGATAATTAAAAATAATAAGATTCCAATCCCTCATATAAAAATAATAAAGCTGAGTAAAGCAGCATGACTTAGAGGTGGGGGGAGAGATCCTCCTCCTCGGATGTCACCTTACTCCAGTTCATCATGGATCCGACAGAGCTGGAAGGATTTTTCCCGAGCACTGGCCAAATCCCACACGGAAGCCGTTGCCCTGGCAGTATCCTAGGGCCAGAAAACAACAGACAGCTTGTTCTGTAAGGACAGCAGGATTTTACCAGGAATAAAAGTCAATAAAGGCATAAAGAGACCAAAACCAAATGGAAACATTTCAGAAATGCAATGAGGGGTAAAAAAAAAGAACACCTGGAAGAGTTCAAGTAGCCTAGGAATATAAAAAAAAAAAAAAAAGAAAAGAAAAAAGAAGCACTAAATGTTAAACACAGCAATACACAAGTTCAGTGAATTGATCAGAGCACAAACAAGATGTGCAATATTTCTGTTCTCAAACCTAACCTGCAGCATCATCAATCTAACTGGCAAGCTGATTCACTGTCTGGCCCAGCAATTTATCAAGTAAAGCTGGATTCTCTTTCTGCAGCATTAGCACTGCTCTTGGGACATCGGGATGCTTCTAGCCAGAAAGATGATCATTAAACCCCTCAAACCGCAGGACCTACCCTTGCAGAATGTGTTTTGCTCGCTAAAATCAAGTAGCTTAGTTCCATGAGAAACTCAGCATCCGACTCAAAATATTAATTTATCCTCTATTATATAAACAGGCATTGAAGGTCTGCTGACTGCTGCTGAAGTTACCGGCCTGTGACAACATCTCTAACTACAGGACAATTCAACCTCTCCCTACTCCTGCGTGATGGCAGAGATGACATTAGGATGGAGACACTGCAGTACCTCTTGCTGTCACGGGCCAGCCGAGCTGCTCCAGAAACAGCATCCATTAGCAAAGCTGCAGATGAAAGAGGGGAGGGGACACAGCCAGGGGCTTCTGGCCCATCTGGGAGGACTATTCTGGGAAGAAACAGCTGAGGAGACCTACTGTAGCTCTCCGCTACAACAGTTGATCAAAAGAAGGACACAAGTAGCATATGCTGTATTTTAAAGACTGATTTCATAGTTAGAGATGGATTTTCCTGAAATAATGGAATACCGCATCTTTCCTGCATGTGATATAAACCAGCTGCCTTTGAGAAGCCAAGAGGGAGCTGAACAGAACAGACCTTAACCCTGATTCCCACCTTTAGCACAGATCAGTGGAAACCTCCTCTGAGGAAGAGGAGGATGGGTGGGCTCAGGCTGCAGGGCAGCCAGAGTTATTGCAGCATGAGGATAGACCCTGCTGGCTCTAACCCACAGTGCAGCTCTCACAGCCAGGCTGAAATGAAGTTTTTCCAAGGACAGCAGTGTCTATAAGTGCTTGTGTAATAGCCTGCCCACAGACACCATCCCAGTATCCACCGAGCAGTCCTCATTCAGAAGCAATGCTTGAGCAAGACACTTGCTCAGCTCCGTTTCCATTTGTCTCATTAGGCTTCATTGTCAGCTTTCCTTTGAGCACTGGCTTATTATTTCAGTCCAGTTTAGTTATCCCCGCTGTCAACTACAATTTAGAGCAGTACCGAGGCGCAGCACATTTAACAAAGCAAGCTCTGTGCTGCCAGCAGCGTCGGCCTGAGCCGAGTGCCAAGGAGCTACAGCGAGATTTTTGCAGCCAGCTGCAGCACACCACCAGCAACCCTTCCCTTGTAATGCTCCCTCCCTGAGATGCACTTCCTGGGAAAAATATATTTCTCTCATTTTATGTGTTAGGGCTCTGAAATAGCTCCCACAAGGGGAGCGAGAACACAAAGTTGAAATAGGAGACTAGAAATTATGGGTTGGGCACTTGGCAAGAGCTAATGACACTGCCTCGGGAGAGGATGCAATAGCACTAGCACTGCCTCAAGGGTGCCTTAAGGCAGTGGACCTGCCATACATCACTAAATAGGAGCAGATCCCAAACTGTCCCAGCAGACAGCCCCAGCAGCACCTGGCTCTCACAAACGGCGCGATGCCCTGATCACTACCATCACAAACTGTTGCTAGTGTAAAACAGCACGGCAGACTGATTAACATGAGACTGTCCCACTGGGGCAACAGTGCCTTCAGCCAGGTTAACAACAATGCTATCGTGCCGTCTTTAAAGATATACAGGATTTAAAGTATTTAAGTGACACAGCTTGTTCTGGGCATGAAGAACAACATGGGTCATGGTCTAGTCCCATTTGTCCCTCAGCTGGCCACCTTGTGCCAGCAGCTCCCAAACTGCAAGGTGCTCATTGCCAGTAAGGATGTCAGCATGTAACTCCAAAGGGATGTTCATAATCCCTAACTGTACCCTAATTTAGGGCTCCTGGCATAGTTACTGGAGGGAGACCTGCAACTCTGGAGGGCAGCATGGTACTCTGAATTGTCGGAGGAGTGTCTCTCTGCACGGGACGTATAGGGAGCCTATGGAGAGCAGTGTCAGATGCCTACACGTTGCAGCATGAGTAGTTGCTGGGTTGTTGGGAGGCTGATGCATGTCAGATGTATTGAGTGGTCCTCGGTTTCATCATCTACGGCTCTCTCCAGTACCTCTCAATCTCCACTTGTCTCAGCATCTTCCTCTGCAAAACTGGCAGCACTTCACAGAAACACGATTTTCAAAGCTATTTTGTAGGCTGCCAGAGAGGAGGCACTGGGGCCCTGGCTGCAGCACTACCAAAACTGCCTACGGAGCCATCCCTGGGAGACTGGAATACGTCCATATATACCTATCTCTTTTTCATCACAGAAAAGTTCTTCATTTTTGTTAAAAACCTTTCTGAAAAAATGAGAAATTTTAGACTATTTTGGCAAAAATCCTGGAAGTCCTGGTTGGATTAAGCAGGCATGTGAACATATAATAGCATCACACCGTCATGTCCTTCAGATTGCTGCACGGGCATTAGTCACTCACATTTTCTCTGCCCTAAGTCACATTTTTAAGTGTTTTCTCATTGCTTGAGCCATTTTGTTCTCTGTGCAGACTCTCTCTGATCACATCAGCGTGATGGAGTTGCTCAGAGCCATGTGTGGCACTGGCTGGGTCTCATCTGATGAAGCACAACATCCCACAAGATATTCTCTAAAAATATTCTCTAAAAATTCAGTAGGCGACATAGCAAAGACATATGCATGAATCAAAAGTTTCTCATGGCTGTTCTTGCCAAATATTTGCCACCTCAAAGCCATAATGAGGTTGACAAGATGAGAGGAGAGGAAAAAAATAGATTTGTTTCGCACTAATCTTTGGATTAAAAAGAAGTAGGAGTGGGATTTAGATCACAAAACACCATGGTAGATTTTAATTCATAAAATCCTTAGTTTATCAAAGTGAAAATTAAAACCATGGCCCAGCATGAAACAGCTCTCAAGCACAGCCCTTTTCAGAGGGGAGCTGCTCAGCTGCTCTAGCAGGTTTCATGCTGTTTCCCACATATTTGATTTGCAACACACTTTGTTGAATGTGCCTATGTTACAAATGAAATATTATTTGCAAAATAACTTTTTTCAGCATTTACCAAGCTCTGCTCTGCACAAATTCGGACTGTGGTGGCAACAACACATCAGCTGCTTCGAGTCCCAAGATATTTTCACCCATAAAGGCAAACCTACCTCCATCGTCCCCTTAGCACTCATGCATAGGCATAGCAAGATCATTAAGTACTTAGCAAAGCAAATAATCTAATCCAGAAATCATTTATTGCAGGGAAATTTCTATCCACTTGCTTTGCCTTCTGACAGGTAGGATGGAAACAACGGTGCTTGCGTGTCAGGTACGTACAGAACAGCCCACCTCCCCGCCAGGCACTTACACTGCTGGGACCAGTCTACGGAAACATGTCCTTGGTGCAGTGTAAGGGCAGTTTTTTGGCCATTACCTGTCAAAATGATTTCATCTCCGTCCTGCAGGAATTTACGGGACTGTCCACTGCCAAGAGGGATTTCTTTTGTTCCGTTCCAGGACAGCTCCAGCATGGAGCCAAAGCTCTCCGGCTCCTGCAGCAAGAGTTCATAAACAAATAAACAATTTTTTAGTATCCGTCCTGCTGTTAAGCTACTTGCTGCTGGAAGTAGACACACAAGTATGTTAGCTCTATAGAACAGAGTTTTGCTGTTGATTTAATTCATTGATACATTGGCTTGTTTTCCTGCCTTTGCATTTTAATGGCTTGCTCACCATAAGCAGTCAGGTTTACAGCTGTTATCTGGTGTGTTTAACATAGTGCTAAACTCTGTAAAAACAGTTTGGGTTTGCTACAGCAAGAGTGGAAACAAATCGAGGGCACGTCTACAAATCCAGTGCTTTTATGTAGTCAAGTTTTGGATTTTTATTTACATTTTGTTCTTCAGAAGAGCAAAGCTGGTGAATGTTTGTAAGTCTTTAACATCAATCTGCAGAACAACAGTTTGAAGGAAGCAAAAAGCACTTCAGAAATGCTCAAAATGGAAGTATAGGTATCCCAACTTGGAAACAACTTACCTGAGGCTGTCTTTCAGACAGCATGAACAGGATTTATATTTGATGTTTCAGAAAGTGCAAGTTACTCATACATTGCAACAACTGTCCGTATGGCAGTTCAGGGGGAATAATAGCTTGTGAAGTTAGCGCCAAATATGTAGTATTAGAGAAACTAAAAGTTATACCCATGTACCTTTTGCATTCTTCTCAAATAAAAAAGCTGCATTTCATAGAGCATAAATGTGCCGTGTCGATGCTTGTGCACAGAAATCAGCTTGCATTTGTAGTAAAATAGTTCTTAGAAAAAGGAGTACAGGAGAGATTACCAACAAAAAACCAATAACAACAAAAAAACAACCACTTCTCAATGCGATTTTGGGGCTACCAACGCAGCAGCCCAAAGTGCCTAGGAAAGAACCGCAGGTATTTTCATGGCCGCTCAAATCAAGCAGGGCTTAAACCCAAAGCCCTGCCCAGTTGGTTTTGGATTGCTGACCAGTTCTCAGTGACTGTTGTTATTTGAACACTTACGGGTCCACTGATTGTGCCGGAGGCCAGGAGATCTCCAGGTCTGAGGTTGCACCCATTGATGGAATGATGAGTCAGCTGCTGTTTCATGGTCCAGTACATGTGCTGGAGGAAGGAGGAAGAGGAGGCTAAAGCAATGAAAGACAAACCTCTCTGGTGTGCCATTAGGCTATGCAGAATGTATTGCATTCTTGGGATGATGCTGGCAAGACTGTCCCTAAAGAAAAGTTTCCTTATTTAATCGGGAACTGCCAGCAACCTAAAAGCAACCTCCACAGTTACTTAGTGCTGCATTCTCAGTAGTTACAGTGCCCTGGGTGATTGCTTTCTAAATGGTGACCAGGAGCTGCTCTGTGCATATGAAACACATACTTTAACATGCAATTTAGTCCCTTAAAACTTCTCTTCTTTCAACTGGATGTCATTTCTCTTTAAGGCCAGCACTGCTGACTCAGGATCCATGATCTGGTCCGGTACTTTAATGGCTTTATAGAAAAATCTCCTTATTACTGATTTGCTGACTACTGATTTACTGATTAAGGTAATTATGATGCAAAGAACCAAATGCAAATATAAAAATTGATTGAGAAATCCTGTAGCTGGTACCTATACTTCCTGGCTTCCATCAGCCCATAGAGGCAGAGCCACCACGCTGCCCGCAGAGGGGCCAGGACAGAGACAGGCTTGGAGCGATGTTGGAGCAGCCAGTCTGCATCTAAATTACCTGTGCTGTATTGCACCTCAGCACGGCAAGACGCAATTCCCCTTGCCTGCCAGTCCTCTGCTTTCACCGCTCCCTGCCAAATAAGTACACAGCTTCTGATGCTCTGAGCACCCTAAACCAAGCAGCAGAAAGAGCTGCTCCCTTCTTCAGTGCTCGAGCATTCAGGTGTTTCCATCTCCGTAGGGGTGAACTGTCACCACCCTCCACCCTTTTCCCTCTGCCCCCTACGCGCACACACACCACGTCTGATCTTCAGCTAATGCAAAAATCAGTGTTTGAAATCGCCTTAGACTGGAGCTGATGGCATCAGCAAGATTTCAAACAACTAAAAGATACTGGAGTCTTACCTTGAAATTGGATCTGCATATAGTAGTTGGCATGCTCATTCCTTCTCCTGCAGAAAACAAAAAATAAGAAACAGGAAAGAAATTTGTTTGTGTTGGATGAATGATGTTGGAGTCTTTTGATTTTACAGATGGATGGAGACTTCTTTTATCATTGTAATCCCTAACAAGAAACAAGTAATAACATTTTCTATTGATATGAAGGCCAGCATTTCACAGAAAACAAGCGTGTGGATGACACCGGGGTAGCATCAAGCTATCTGTTTCCCACTCTCTGCTCTACTACAGGAGCAAAACCTGGACCTACCAGTCAGCAGGGCCATGAGCTGGGAGTCTGAGCGGGGTTAACATCTGAATCCCACATACATCGGCTCTCTCCATGCCCTGTTTATCCCTGCCCATGCAGGCAGACCCCTCAGGGACTCTCGTCATCATAAGCTGATCATCTGGGGGGCATTCCCTCCTTGACACATTGCTGCACGGCCAACGGGGAGCATGAAGAGCTTTGCCCCTTTCTCTGACAGAGGGAATCTGGGCAAAGATGGAAAAGGAGGACTGCAAAGCCAAGAGAAATTTCTCTGAAATACATGGTGGTTCTGCATCTCTTAATTGGCAATTTCATCTTTATAACCCACTCAGCATTGCCGTACCTTTAATAGCAACAAAGAGCTTGATGTCGAAAGTGTAGGGTTCTTTATCCTGAAGGTAGGGCAGTGGCTTGGGATCCTAAAAGGATATAAAAAACATCACAGTCTAAATAAACATAAAGAAAAATTCCAGGAGCCATCCCAGTGACTTTTTGTTTAACATGTGTATACTGCACACCCTGTTTACTTCACCATTGTTACTGCTCAGATTATTGTTTTGCTTGGTCTCATGCACACGCTTTTAAAGGTCTTTCTGAACAGATGTGATATCAATATAATCCAATTCCTTTTTCTGCACATGGGCTCCAAAAGCCCTCTCCATCACTATGGCGTGGATGTTAATCCAAAACAAGTAAGAGCGGTAGCACACCTTTGCTCTGTGCCTGCACACAGAAGATGGTGAGCTCTCTGCAAGACTCTTTATTATCGTTTTCAATTTTAACTACAGGTCTACATAATGCAACAACTGGAAATGCTTGAACAAAGTGTTTTGGCTTGAGTGCACTCTCTCTCCACTGCTTGCTGGGTGCTAAGTGCTACCAAACGCTAACAAGAAGCTCTCCGATCAGTTTATTTTCCAGGTGTTTTAAAGGAGATGATTTTTCTGCCCTGTTCAAGCAGGCAGGATGACAGCACAGGGCACTATGTGCCACCACCAGTGACATTAATGAGAATTTGAACTCAGAGGGCCCAGGATGCCTTCATATGCTTGGAAGCAGGATCACACTTGCAAACTCTATGAAGAAAGCGCTTGGCGTTGATACAGCTCGGTGATTTCTACTGATGGGATCTGCCAGTTCTGCTGAGATCTTTCTAGCACTGTTTCTCCTTTATTTCAGCCCTTTCTCTTGCTAACCTGGACAGGGTTTGGCAACACAAATGGCATGAGAGCTTCCATCGTAACAACCCAAGGAGAGATGGTTGTGCCAAAGCTCTTGCTCAGGAACGGACCCAGAGGAACGTATTCCCATTTCTGGATGTCACGGGCTAGGAAGAGAAAAACCAAAGTAATGCTGTTAAATATATCCTAAGGGTTGCGCAACCATCACACCTGTGAAAGAGTAACATGGATTGGAAATGTTATCACCACCCTTTTCTAGCCATTGTGCCCAAATCCTGATTTAAACCCATCCCTTTCAGACCCTCAACCAATTGTATTAGACCAGCTAGATTAGGAAGAAAAGTCAGCAATAATTAAAAGAAGTCAGGCTATCCCCATATAACCAGTATTTTTATCCCCAGTTTAGTTAATGTTCTTACACCCAGCTAATGGTCCATGCCAGTCACAGGGCCAATTTCAAGTAGGTAAATCTATGCAGAGACTGAGGGATTTGCAATTGCCAAATCATTTTCCTACTCCTGACACTGAAATCAATCCTCTGTTGGAATCACCATCCTCAGGGCTGCTCCATCCCTGCCCAGAAGAAACTAGACTGATACTACCTCTTTCATAAGTAAATAAATCTTCATCAGGCAGCAATTTCTGGTTCTACCGATGGATCGAAAATGGATTGAGATAGAGCCTGAGAAATGCAGATAGCATTTCATTTTCATCCCTTTCAAACGCACTCAGTGGTTTCAGTGATCACTATCCTATTATTAAAACATATAATTTAGCCCTATCTAAGTTTTCCCGCGACGCTGTAACCCCCTCTCCAGGCAGACTCCTGCAGCACCGGTTACCGCTCCAGTCGTTCATAAGGACCATCCCAAAGATGTGCTCCTGGGCTCTGCTGATAGGAATTGGCTCCCCATACTTGTTTCCAGGACCTACAAAGAACGCCTGAAATTGAAAAGCAAAGTGTTGATTAAGGAAGTTTTTGAAGCTAAAAATCTTTGCTGCACAGAGGGTTACATGCACAAGCAACAGAGGCTGGACAGGATGGGATTTTGCATTATTTCCCATACACAATTAGACAAAACCCATGGCCTACTCCCTCTTTCTTCCCTCCATGAAGCTGGCAGGGTTGAAATATTTAAGGGCACTGTGTTGCTAAGAGGCAGTTATTAAATAAGGGTATGATGTTGTCAAAATGCAGGAGCAAAAACGGTCCCTGCTAATTACAATCCGGATGCAGAACAGGTTTGCTTGCTGAAGTGGCTCTGCTGCAGACAGGAAAGAGTTTAAAGTCATCCGAGGGGATGCTGAACACGGTTGGGGCCTGTCGTGACAGTGGGGAAGAGGAGACAGGTGGAGAAATGTGCCCACTAAGTCAAACAGGTCATGAACTAGGTGCCTGCACTCGCTCCCTTACAAAATGTACAGCCTGAGCATGTGGCAGAGAATGCTGCAGGGAATCTCAGTTGTCTCTTTCTGCCAACATGCAACTTTTTTATTCTAAAGTCTTCATCGGTCTAAATCCAGTCTCACGGCAGCCAGCAGTAAAACTCGGGCTGCAAAGCAGAGGTGTGGCAGCACTTCACATTCCCCACTTCATGGGACCGCCTCGCACTGTATAGCATTGATCTGCAAAGCATACAGCGTTAAAGGCTTTCAGTTCATTTTTAGTACCATTTCCCATCATATTAGGCTTCTACTTTTTTTTTTAAAGGGGAGAGATGGGCAATAAATAATCTAAAAACTATATAAATGATATAACAAACAATCCTATAAAACGCTCCCTTCTGGACCACACTAAGCCACAAGAAGACGCACCTCCCAAGGATGTTTTGTTACAACACCCACAGCACAGGTTTCATCTTTCCAGCCAGAAGCATGAGGAGTTTGAATTGCCCTCCCAAGAACTCAGGGCTTCTTCTGCTCCAGACTCAAGGCGCAGACAGCCTGTACTTCCAAAATCCCCAGCGTCCACTGAAAGATCCTGGCTGCAGTGCAGAGGGAACTGCTAACCAGATAACAGGCCGTGGTGCCTGATAAAAAGAATTAAGCCTGTCTGCTTCCAGACTGCTGCACCACAGCTCAGATTTGGCCAGACGAGCTGTTTCCAACCTGAAAGCCGTATTAGCAAACCACTCAATGAGCTAATGCACCCTGCAATTGGTTGGAAGGGAGGGTTTCCTCCACAGAAATCTTTATTGCCTGCTACACAGACTACTCAGAGGGAAACACAGGAATGGACTTTATGCGACACTCATTTTAGAAGAAGCTAGACCTACCTTTTCTTCCCTGTTTCAATGTTTTTCAAGTGGTAAGGAAAAAAAAGCCCCATCTTACCATTTCTAACTCAATATCCAGACGCTTACAAGCACCAAGCACTGGAGGTTTATCTGTGGGTAGAAGAAAGAGTATTTTACAATAGGTAGGCAGGTAGGGAAATAAAAGTAACAGCCAGAAGAAACAGAGCAGCTGATGCTGCCTGGCATGATAACACAAGATGGCCTTACTCAGGGTTTCTAAACCCCAGGCTGGGCTTTAGACAAGGCATCCAGACCCATCCTCTCCACTACTGGATGATGTGGAGGAAAAATAA